TGAGGTTCCAGGTTTCTAGGAAAAGATACATGCTCCTCAGCAAAATGCTCATTTGAAATTCAGGAGGAGGAAGATTCTAGAATGACTTCTTCCCTGAGTTGCTGATGAATCTTTGGAAAGTCACTGAGTTATCTGTGCCTGCCTAGCTCTTGTGTTGAAATAAATAACAAATCCAATCTTCCTCTGTACACTACGTATTCCATTATGTGCAGAGGGATATGCAGCCATCTCCTCACTTCTTCCTATAATTCATCCCAAGGTACACTTCAGGAGACAATGTGCCTTTTTTTGGTTGGCAGTTAGCACTGCTGTTGGCTCCAGCAAACATGCAGAAAAACAGAGATGGAATGCTTGGGACACGTTGCTGTAATCCCAGGAAAATCTCCAAGGTTCCTAAGTAGTTGGCATAAAACAGGGACATTCTTACTAGTCCATGGCAGGAGGAGGGACACACACTCTCCCCTCCTGGTTACCTTGCCCTCTGCTATCAATTCCTCTCTACAGATAACAAACACGCTACTTTCGCCTCCTTATTTGAAGAATTGGGGAGATTATATTAGCAAAGCTCCAAATTCCTTAGGAAATATGTTAAGTGAATGATTATATACTTAAAGATTATATTAATCTATTTAAATTATTTAAATTATTATTAATTATTATATTTATGTTATTATTTATATATTATTGATTATTTACAAATATTATTATATCATATATTTGTTATTGTTTATTAATTATTAATTATTATTAATTATGTAAATATTATATATTAAATGACCATGTATTATATATTTAAATGATTATATATTTAAATATACAAAATTTTGATTGAGGTGTTTTGCAAGTTCACAAAATGACTTGATTTTCTAATCTGTTTTTCTTTTTCATAGTGTGGATTCTTTGACAGAGCAAGACCTCCCCAGGATGATCTGACTGACAGGGAACAGCTGACAAGTGACAAGACCCCTGAAGCATGATAAGGAAAGACAAAGACCAAAAAACTCAAGCACTGGTCCTGTTCAAAGGAAAGAAAGAACATAAGGGTTAAATAAAGGCTTTCCTGTACCTGCCAGTGACCTAAGAAATGGAAGAACCCCTGAAAATATCACCTCATCAACAGTGCCCTTTGGAGATGTTGCTATGGGAGCTCAGTGAACCCTTTTGGAAAAGGCAACCACAGTGCAGTAGAAAGAACCAGTAATCTTGGAAGGTTTTTTTTTTTTT